CCCCTTGTTCTGTCACTCCAGGCCCCTGTGAAAAGTCCCTCAGAGCATTTGTTGGTTTGTCCCTCTGATGGATTTAGCCCACAGGGCAGGTCCACAGCTCGGTGCCACTTCAGGATTGCTCTTGTGACAAATTGGTCTCCCTTTTCTTGCCAGGATTACTACAGCAGCGGCTACTACCCCGAGGTGGAACCAGCCCAGGCCCCGCCGCAGGAGACCAGCACYGACTCCTCTTTCATCGACGACGAAGCGGTTGGCACTTCATTGTCTGTCCCCCTGTGGAATTTGGCTTTGAGCTCTGCCAGAACATGGGACCTGCTTGCTAGCTATGGTCCTGCYCSSCAGCAYGTCCTGTGTTTCCAATGGYTTGGGCTGGGTGGCTTTTCTGGGGGTCTCGTGCTGTTTTGTGGACATGTGTGGAGTCCATCCCACAGTCTGCTGGGCTCCTGCTCCAGCCAGGTCTGCAGGCCTGATGAGTATGGAATAGAATCAATTWTTGAGGTTGGRAAAGGCYTCCAAAACCATGAAGTGCAACCATTCCCCAGCACTGCCAAGGTCAAACCATGTCCCCAAGTGCCCCATCCACACGTGTCTTGGTTTGAAAGATGGGGAAGGAGGGAATCTTCTTTGGAATAGAAAATATGACACCCGCCTTCCCTCCAAATTATTGTAACTTTGAGATCAAGGGGCTTTCAGGTGAAGATATGGAAAAAGGGTGAACATTTATTACAGTATTAATATGTAGTATATAGTGTATATATAATGTAGTATATAGTATATATGTAATATACTATATTATATATATAGTATATATGTAATATACTACATTATATATATAGTATATATGTAATATACTCTATTATACTATATATTGTACAGTATATATACTTAAGGATTATATATATATACTTATATATATTATATACTGTATTATATATATACATAATATGTATCATATATATACATTATATATATTATATATATATGTTACATATATATACACATAATATATATAGTATAATATATAGTTCTTTATAATATTAATTACAAACAACAGCGGCAGCAACAACAGACAGAACCAGAAACCCGGTGAACCATTCTCTGAGCTGTCCCATGCCCTCCCTTCGGTGCAGTTACAGTCACAGCCAGCGGGGGCGCTGGTGCCTCTCGGTCGGGCAGGGTGGGTGCGGTGATTCCTCCCCTCCAGCAGGGGATGCTGTGGCGATGATTCCTCCCCGCTGGCAGGGGGCGCTGTGGCACGGGGGCGGTGATTTCTCCCCACCAGCAAGGGGCGCTGTGGAGCTGGGGAGATGATTCATTCCTCCCTGCCAGCAGGGGACGATGTGGTGCTGTGGTAATGATTCCTCCCCACTGGCAGGGAACGATGTGGCACAGAGGCCATGACTGATTCCTCCCCGCCGGCAGGGGGCGCTGTGGCCTGGGGGGCAGTGATTCCTCCCCGCCAGCAGAGGGTGCTGTGGCGCTGTGGTGGGGATTCCTCCCCATCAGCAGGGGCGCTGTGGCACTGGGGAGATGATTGATTCCTCCCCGCCGGCAGGGGGCGCTGTGGCACAGAGGCCATGATTGATTCCTCCCTGCTGGCAGGGGGCGCTGTGGCCCGGGGGACAGTGATTCTTCCCCGCCAGCAGGGGGCGGTGTGATGCAGGGGGCACTGTGATGCAGGGGGCACTGTGATGTAGGGGACAGTGATTCCTCCCCGCTAGCAGGGGGCACTGTGGTGCTGTGGTGGTGATTCCTCCCCACCAGCAGGGGGTGCTGTGGCACAGAGGCCATGATTGATTCCTCCCCGCCAGCAGAGGGCGCTGTGGTGCTGTGGTGGTGATTCCTCCCCGCCGGCAGGGGGTGGAATATATATATAGTATATCATGGCACAGAAGCCATGATTGATTCCTTTCCACCAGCAGGGGGTGCTGTGTCACAGAGGCCATGATTGATTCCTCCCCGCCGGCAGGGGGCGTTGAGGCGCAGGGGCAATGATTCCTCCCTGCCGGCAGGGGGCGCTGTGGCCCGGGGAGCAGTAATTCCTCCCCGCCAGCAGGGGGTGCTGTGATGCAGGGGGCACTGTGATGTAGGGGGCAGTGATTCCTCCCTGCTGGCAGATGACGCTGGGGGGATGATTCCTCCTTTCTGGCAGGGGGCGCTGTGGCACAGAGGCCATGATTGATTCCTCCCCGCCGGCAGTTGGCGCTGGGGAGATGATTCCTCCCCGCCGGCAGGGGGCGCTGTGGC